GGTACTATATGTTTTAATATTAATAATTTACATTTAGATGGTGCATTTCACCTAAAACAAATGCCTCGAGACAGTGTAAAAATTAAAAGGAAGCCTAATCTCTGTGAGCAGTGTCCCACAAACAACAAATAAATGAGTAGCTAATAACATTTAATTTTGGGGGAAATTTAACAAGGTGGGAATATCATCGAGGTTACCCACAAGAAAGACTTTATGTTTCTTTGAAATAGCAATGGCATTGTGGTCCCTTTACAGTCATCTGAAGCATAAGACAGATGGAACCTAAATTAATAATACAACCAAAAAATGGAAACGCGTCCTAGAAGTAAATAATAAACTTATATTCAGCATGAATGTTGTTTTATATGCCAAAATGTTACCTTGAAAAGTAGCAATAGTTTGTTGTTTATTGTTTTACGGATACGTATAAAGCAGTTTTGGACACCAAACAGTGACTGTTCCTGAATAGTCATACTCTTGACAGGGTCTCAGCTGATCTGTGACTTTGAAATCCCATTAACCATGTACGTCGTCAAAGTGGACCAAATTTACCAGCTCACAGACTATTATGTGCTTATTGTTAAGTCCAATGGTTGCCAACTTTTAGAGCGATAACAAGCCAAGAGCACAGCATGTTTGTATGCAGACAACCTGCTTGAATGCTTGTGTTTTCTTTAAAAAATAAATTGAAAAGAAAAAACAATGTTGTTTGGAATCCTGCTGTATAAGGCCCTGATGGTTTTAATTTCAACTCAAGTTTCTTGTGTTGCCCTTAGCAAGCATTAGAGAACAATCTTTTTTTATCTTTGCATTTGGGCATAGTTGTATAGTTCAGTGATCCAACTCTTCTGCCCACTGCACACAATGTAAATTCTAAATAGCTTGGGTTGATGCTAATTGGAATGGAAAGATAACCACCTGGACTTCACTTGAACAAGCTCCACCGCCTCTCCTCTCAGATCCTACCTTTCACACTGTCTCCACTTTGTCTCCACAAACGGCTTCTCCTCTAGCCCCCTCATCGTCTTGTGCGGTGTTCCTCAGGGCTCTGTCCTTGGTCCTCTCAACTTCAATGTGTACATGCTCCCTCTTGGTGACATCATCTGCAGACATGGGGTCAACTTTCACATGTATGTGGATGACACAATTCTATCTCTCTGCCTCCACCCTCGACTCCAGGGACCGCTGCTGTCCTGACAGAATGTCTGTCAGACATCAAGTCCTGGATGAGAGCTGACTTTCTCAAGTTGAATGTCAAGAAGACTGAGACCCTCCTGATTGGCTCCTGTCAGCACCTCCACACATGAGGCAAGAACAACAACAACAAATTATACTTGTATTACGCCCTTCACATCGGAAAGACATAATGGCAGCATCACCATTCGTGGATGCTCAGTCCACCTCACTGGCCAGTCCAGAGCCTTGGCATCTTGTTTGACCCTCAGCTGTCCTTTATACCCCACATCCATGCCTTGATCCTCTCTGCTTTCTCCCACCTCCAAACCATCACCCGGCTCCTCAACTGCCTCTCCCCCCAGGCCTCCGAAACCTTATCCACACATTTATCACATTTAGGCTTGACTATGCCAACTCCTTGCTTGTCAGCTTTCCCAACTCTCCACAAGCTGCAGATCATCCAGAACTCTGCAGTTTGTGTCCTCTCCGGCACCAGGCTCCCCACCCTCACCCTGCTCCACTGGCTCCCTACCCCCCGGAAGAGAGAGTTCTAAATCCTCATCCTCGCCTTCAAGGCCCTCCACAGCCTGGTCCTTCCTACCTCTGTGGCCTACTAGCCTGTCCACTCCTTCCACTCAGCAGGCTCTGGCCTGCTCCACATCCTCACCCGACCCACCCCAAGATCGGTGGTCACGCCTTTAGCCTCTCTGCCCCCACCCTTTGGAACTCCATCCCAACGTTTCTTCACCTTCCTCACTCCCTTGCTTCCTTCAAGGCATGTCTCAACAACAACAACTTGCATTTATATAGCGCCCTTCACACGTGCCTTCAGCTCCCCTCTCGACTCTCTACCCCCTCCTCGCTCCCTCCCTTCCCTCCCCTCACCCTGACCATTTCCCCCCTGCTCGGGTCCTGACCCAACTGTACAGCGCCTTGGGATGTCCTCCCGACGTGAAAGGAATGGAATCTTGTTGTTGTTGTTGTTGTTGTTGGATGATGTCTCGGAGGCTCAAGACCCTCCTCTTCGACCGCGCCTTTGAGCACCCGCCTACTCTCTATGCCCTCCACCCCTCTGATTCCAACTCCCTGCTCAGGTCCAAATCCCTGACTGTCCAGGGCCTTGGGACATCCTCCCGACGTGAAAGGCACAATACAAATATAATCTGTTTGCCTCAGGGCCAGATTCAAAAATGCTTTAACACCGCTTTACATTTGCTCTACCATGCAACTGAAACCGCTAATCTATGGATTACTTACACAGTGCTTCATTGTTGCCTCAGTAACTGACTACCAATGTTATATTTATCTGTTAGATTTCAGCCACTGGGGGGCAGTCTTGCCCCAAACCAGTGGTGAATTCTATTACTCAGACCAATGTCTATCTATTTGATTAACAGAAAATGTCTTGAAATAAATTATTTTATAAATATAGCAAAATGAAAGATATTTTACTTTGAATGAGCGTCATCCTGTTGACCTGCAAAATAAATGCCTCTGCAAAGCAAAATAAATTATTAAGTAATGTTTTTCCAGGTTTGCTGAAGGCAAAACTCAAACTGAGTTTCGAGGCTGGGAAACAGGGAAACTATACAGGATACACTTTGTTTATCAGGTAACACCACCCCATGTGTTACATGCACATGTGTGCCACTTTGACTAGAAGATGCAAACCATTTGGAAGATCAATACCTTGCATTTGACTTATGAACCCATTTTGCAACTCCATTTATCTGTAATCAATACAAAGATTGTTGCTCTCTTTACAATTAGTTCTCCTGTCACAGAAACAACTTACCCAATTTATAGCATAAATTTACTGAAGCTTACACAGAAATGTACACATATCAATCAGTGCCAAATGAGAATAAAGGCTTACCTCAATGTGTATTGCGCATGTAGATCTTACACAATAAGAGAGACGAGTGTTGTCAGAATTGACAATGGTAGTGGTTGGATAATTTCTAACTAAATAATACAATCCTTTTGATAATACAGCATAGGTGACTAAGATGTCAAATGACTATATAAAAGAATACTGACATTATATGCAGTCAACTAGGCTTTTTTCAACAGTATTAACAAGATTATTTGATGGTCAATATTAATTGGTTTTTTCAGGATATCTTGGTCGGGCAGTGTGTTGGCGCTGCACTAAGCATGGAATGCTAGCATGTACATCTGTGCCTGCAACCCCTCACAGTGGGAGCTTTTTCATTCCTACTCATGGAGTCACAAGCTACAGCCAAGTCAAACCTAAGAGTTCTCCATGGTGAAGGACAGAAAAGGAGCTCTAGGATAGAAATAGTGCATTCAACTCCAAGTCACAAGAACAAACTACGAGAGAAAAGAGACAATGGAAAGGAAAGCACTTACAAATTGTATTAAAACATAAAGACTTCTCAGTCGGCAATATTAAGCTCATTTAAAGTAAAATGGCTTTAATTTTTTAATATTAATGTAATTTATTTTATTTAGAAACATAAAATACATTCCCGATGGAATGCTCCGTGGTAAACCTTCATGTTGGCATTATCCCTGAGTATCCCTCTCATAGCAGACTCCCTGGAGCTTTTTCTAAAAGAAAACAAAGGGGAAGGATCGGTTTCCATGAACGACAGTTGTGAAGAAGGAAGCTAGTGTTTAAGATTCTGTTTCAGCAGGCATGTCCTCCAGCTGGCAAACAGAGAGCAGTGACTGCTGCGAGTTTCTGTCTGTAACAGGCCTTCCTTGCCCTGGGATGAATATTCTGTGAGAGAAGAACTTAAAAAAATGTAATGTGAGAGTGAAAAAAAACAAATAAATCCAGGAAATGATTCAATGCGAAGAAAATTCAAAATTCTATCGGTATTGATTAGAGCATATTTATAGCATATTGGTTAGGGCACTCGCCTCACAAGCAAAAGACCTGGGTTTGATTCCCAGCAGGGCGAAATGTTGGGCAAGTTGCCTTACTCCATGCCTCTGTTTACCTAGCAGTAAGTAGGAACCCGGTTGTTAGTCGATTGGTGAATCGCTTTTCCGGGGGTGTTAACTCCTTCAAAAAAAGTAAGAAGAAATTGGTCACTTCAATCCAGGACTGTTTGTGGGACACTGCTGTGTGCAATTGGCTGCTGTATTTCACCCACAAAAAAAAGTCAATTCCCTTTGGGATATATTCTGTGAAACGCTTTGAGATGTCTGGAAGACGTGATAAGACGCTATATCAAATGCAAAGATTATTATTAGTAGTATATTTGAGAACAGAAAATTAATTGCTTCAAAAGAAAATGAAGCTGTGTGTACCTAGAGATCTGCTGCAAAAGTAAACCAAGAGAGGGGCAATGGGCAATAATAATTCTGAGTAGGCAGGTTCACCATTCATATTGGTCACTTAACACACAATATTTACTTTTACTGCTTTCTGTTATACTTTGAATAAATGGGACTGAGAAATAAAATGATTGTCCTCACCCAACCTATCCCACTATACTTTTTTTTAAATCTCATTCTGTACAGTCTTGTATTCAGTCCAATACAGTCACCTTCACCTTTTGTGTTCTGAGAAAGATAAGTTGGGTCAAAAATACTCTGGCTTGGTGCTCGTATATGTCTTGTAAATGGCCTTGATCCATCTGCACCATTGGACCTGCCAAGAATGAATGAGCCCCATATGACTGTGAGCACAGACAGTGAACAGGAGAAATCCTTGCACTTCAGCCTGTTAAAATGTGAATAGTCACACATGGGGAATAGAACCAAGTCAAAGTAGAGAAGAATAAAGAATGGAAAACACTGAAATTTATAATGAGCACTATACCTAACTGTAGGCATCCATTCCTGGCCAGACTGGGATGTTTTAAAAGGAAGAAACTAAACCAAGGTTTATTGGTGAGTAGCAATGTTTATGGAAAAAGTGCATCTGAATGAAATGAAACAAATTGAAATGTTTGAGGATAAAAAAACACGTCTTAAAGATCACTGGTGCCATTAATTGAGATTTAGTTTGTTCATTGCTTTAAGGAGTGACACAACCTGCTTTAAACATTGAACCTCTAATCCTATTGCTGTACATGTATGTTGGCTGACAATATTGTCAGCAGTGGGATTATTTATTTGTTTATTTGTCTAATAACCTTCCCTAATCATTTTCTAAACAGCACAAGCAGAATGCGGAAATGTGAAGTGTATTCTGGACTGGTAATTTCACTTGCTTGCAGATTTGGCTTTAGCCCCATTCCCTCTGCTGGTCCTTTATTGCAGTATGTTTCCCTCTTCCTCTGAAGATATTTTTCATAGATTTTTTGTCTTCTGGAATAATGTTGCTGAGCACTCGCAGTTATCTTGCCTAAATGACCATAATTTATGTGTGGTAGTCTGCAGGATATTCAATCACAGGGAGCATTCCATTGGAGTCCAACTGTGTTATCTCCACCAATGCAGATAACTCAGTTAATTAAGTCAATTGTAGCACTATAGTTGTTGCCTTGTCTGAAATCAGCTAACTCAGCACAGACTGGATTTACAATTTCAATCACTTTGCACTTTGAGATGTTTTGATGGAATATGCTGCCATAAAAATGCAGCATTTTTCTTCCTAATGTATTGGGCATCAGAGGGTTGACATTGGTCATTTTTACTAGTGCAGTAATCCTATAATAGAGCTCAAAAGGACAGAGTACCGCATATCTTAAACAGAATATATGTGGTGGTAACAAGAAGAATTAAACTAAAAGAACGGAGTGTAGTCCCAAAGCTCTTCATTTATAAAAACAGAGGTTTAGTATTTATGAGTACTTTTTCTGCAAGGCAACGAGAAGCGAAATATAATTAATGCCTTGCCAAGATATACGTGCTTTATGCAAACAATTCTTTTGGAATTGTATAATTGTTATGTTTAGGGCATTTCATTTTTAAGCACAACAAAGAATTTTGTTTTGAAGCAATATAATTAAATAAGGTAGGTAGTACAATTCCTTTCTCAGGGTGGTTGGAACACTCTGAACTCTTATTTTGTAACCTCAAGCATGTTAATTTCATCACTCCAAGAGCTCAGCTTTCCTGCAGTTGTGCCTTCAGGCTGAATAACATTTGCTCTGTGTACTCCTAATGTGCCACATGGAAGTTGCTAATTCAAGATACAAAGCATGATTATCTTTCAGATAAGAGTATTTTTATCCTCTGTTCCACCTGATCCTTTAATGTTCTTGGATCACTGCTCATAACAATGCAATTAAATCAATATGAAATGTATTTATATTGGTACCGTTTGGATGAGTGAAGGCTTTTCTGAGCAAAAATTTTAGTGCTAAATATTACAGCCAGTTCATGATCGGGTGAGAGGAAGTAAAAGAGTTCCTATGTATGACCTCAATTAAAAACTGTGTTTTTTACCTTACAGAACATTTTGACCTAGTTCTTAATGCAACGTAATTCCATGAGAAAAGGTGGTTATATAATGAATAGAAGAATTTAGGCCATCTGTTATGTAAACATTTTGTGACAAATGTGTTGTAATTGGTCTCCAGTGAGGATGATCAGGGGTTATTTGAGATCTCACTTATTTATGAATATTTCCACATCTAAGCAGTTACACTAACTTGAATATGCAAAACATACCTCTTTCATTCCCTCTGATTTGGGAATAGGCTGCTTCCTTGTCACTGAGGAGATGGATAATGCTGCCACTTTGATTAGCAGCACTGAATGCTTATTTTGCCTAATGTATGCCTTCATACATCAATGAGTAAAGGCACTTTCCAAATTCTTTATAGTATTTTGTTAAGCAAGGAGGTTGTGTCACTCCTTAAATCATTTGGAATCTCTTTTCAAATAGTGCAATGGGATCTTTAACATTCACCAAAACAGACAGATAGTTTCTCAGTTTAATGTTTCATTCAAAGCCTGGAAGCAATAAAAGGATGATTCTACAAAGGATTATCTTCAGGGCCATCTGTTTCTTTCTGTGGGAATATTTAGAGATCGTAACCATTTGATTATTCCTGATATTTCACATTTCATTGGCTAAAATCAGTTAACTTAGCAGAAACTGAATTGAACACATTTTGCAGCGACTTGAAATTGTTTTAAAATGCATCTTTAAAAGAGACTGGGTAGTGCAATTGGTATGAATATTATCCAGCCCAAATTGGTCCAGAGATCAGCAGCCCAACTGCTATGAGCCTGACTTGAACTGACATTAGTCAGTATTAAGCTAGTCCATAACAGACATGACACTATAATGCACAACTGCCAACCAAAGATAGCAAGCAGGATTATTGCTCAAAGAGTTCTGTCAATGTTGCTCTCAAGCAACAACTATGAAGTGTGTGTGACTTGCCTTGGGTGAGTCTTCCTGTGGAGAAGTGCTTGACTTCTACTTGCTGTGCCTCCCATGGTATCACAACTAAAATTAGCAACCAAGAATTTAGATAGTTATAGGCATGAACCCATAAAGAAAAGTGACAAATTCTATTGAATCAGATTGAAGAGAACTTGTGTCCAATTTATTTTTGTATTAAGTACATCCCTCTCCTCACAAACAGAAAACACTATTTTGTGATTTATTTTGTACTCCTATGTCATGAAACTTTGTTTGATGGACAGTACAATCTTTTTTTTCTTCTAGTTCATAAAATTAATACAACCCTCACGAAGTATGTTGTCAATTGTAAAATATAATCAAAATGTGTGGGATTCTGGTCCACTTTGTTGTTAGTGCTGTTGCAGCTGTTAGCCTTGAGCACAGTACAGGTCTTACAATCAGAAACAGCTGCGGTCCAGGCGAGCTCCAGTAATAATAATAATAATATTGATAATAATAATAATAATAATATTATAATCAGTGACTGAACATTAAGAATCCATTGATATTACCTGGAGTAGGTATATTGCTTCCATGGTGAGGACAGTTATAAAGATTCAGCCTTCAAGTGAAGTGAAATCTGCAGTGAATTTGTTAAATAGATTGTGCTTTTACTATTAGTCTTTCATTTGGACAATATTTTATCTCCTTTCTATGTACAGTGAATGGGGACATATTCTGCTCTGCACTTATCTAAAAGCCTTTTAGAGATACAAATGAACAAAGAAAATAAATGAGTACACGGAGAGATCTATATTGCAATTAAAGTGGAATGTCTTGGAACTACTTCCAAATATTCTGTATTGCAGCTTCCTTGGAGGGTCTCGGTATCTGTTATATAGATTCAAAGTTCAGGTATTTGTGAAGGTAATCATCAAGATGCATCTTGCGTTACTTGATGGCAAGATGCATCCCTTCCATGACATCAATAGAAATCTTAAGATATTAAATTTGTCAAATATGTAGCTTGAAATATGATGTGGTGTACATTATAATTTGTTTTTTAAAAAAACACTGTGTCATGTGGATACAGCTATTCAGAATCCAGTACTCCAGTATTTGTATACCACTTCAAAAAGCTTTATTACCTTTATCTAGGTTCAGAATCATTGAGAAGCGAACTAGACCATACACAACAGAACATGCAAATACAGCAAAGGCCTTTCTACTCAAGGGCACTGTCACCAGTTCAAATCGCATTGGTATAGCTTTCAATAGTGTAAACTCTTTGGAGAATGTTGTATAATTTATATTCAACATTATCACAATGCACAATAACACATGGATGTTTTGGACAGTTTCCCTTCTGAAACAGGCATTTGCAGACTTTCAGATTTACGTTTGCTGAGAATGATTTCCAGCAGAAGCTCTAAGATATGGTACTTAGGAAGTTCTATTTCTCCTTATGTGGTTACCAGTGGTGGATTGTTCAGGAAGCTGTATACACAGTAAGCTTTATTATCTTTGTACAGTTAGCACTAGTAGATTGCTGTGTGGTTTCTCATTAAATGTTTGTATAACTGTAATTTTTCTTCTAACAATGTATTATAATAATAGTACTTAAGGCCAACTTTGATATAACTAGATTTTAACTAACAAGCTATTCTTGTATATGCATTCAAAAACATTTTTGTAACGTGCCTCACCTAATTGGGATCTTCTCAGTCTTTGGCAAACTGGCATCCAGAGGTGAGATTTAGTTAGTATAAACAGCATTATTTTGGTCTGTGTTTTCCAGATGCCTTCAGCTGACTGGCAAAATAGCCATTTGTGATTATGTTTTCCAATCTTATTTTGTGAAGCCGAGATTCAAAGAAAATGTAATTGTTGTTGTTGAAGTGACTGGAATGAGTGTGTGTTTTATTGGGGATAAACTGCCCTCATACTACAATTACAACTCTGCCTTCTTTAAGACACATTACATATGTGAATTTAAACCTGGACACAGATATTTTTGCTCTGCAATCTCTGGGCTTTGTGCACAGCTGCTTGTATCTCTGAAATGTTTGCACAGCCTGGCCTGACAGTAGAAACCATTTCCATTTCAAATGTCTGTTTGGATAGGTGTGTGTATTAGGGGGTGCTCAGGGGTGGGGGGTTAAAAATACAAGTTACATAGATCAGCAGCAACTATTTCTGTTTTTTATATGCAAACCAGTGAGTAAATGAAAGTTCATTAACATCCTTTATCTCCTCTCTAGAATCTTTGCTATTATTATTATTAAAAATTATAATAAAATTATTATAAAAAATCTTCCCCTCCCCTCCCTTCTCCCTCCCTAACCCCAGCTCGGGTCTGAAATGCTGTATACTGTCCAGTGCCTTGGGACGTCCTCCCGACATGAAAGACGCTATACAAATGTAATCTTGCTGCTGTTGTTTGCTGATGTATTTGCTGTGTTTTAGGCATTGAAGGGAAGTAGAAGAAAAGAACATAAACAAACCTTTACAGTCCTATTTGAGTCAGTAAAAACCTGGTATGTTTGTAAGGTTAAAGCTGCAGTTGACATGTACCATTCAGCATTTC